TCTTGTGAAACCCTTACCCAACATCTCGTCAAGGTACTCGCGCAACTCTCGCTGCTCAGACTGGGCAAGATTGTACAATCCCCCAAAAGGTGGATCACAATCGGGCTTTAGATCTATTGCACAGTCAAATGCTCGATGGGGAGGAAGTACAAATTCCTGTGGAAAGAAAACATGTGAGTATTTAAAACAACTTTTCGGTAGATTCAAAGGAAGAGACTTGTCAGAAGTGGTTAAAGAAGATGAAGGAGTTTCGATGGAATTTTGATTCTTTGAATATATTTGTGGAGACGGTGAGGAATTTTCTGTCGCTGTGATGGAAGAAATTGGAAAAGAAGGTTGTTCAACAGATTCCAACTCACAAGAAACTACAGATACATTCAAATCCGTCATCGCTGCTACAACCATTCCATTGATAGCAAGATAGACACCATTCTTATGACAGACAGCAGCCGCACCAACACTCTTCTTCCATGGTAGGCCTAAAATCACATCTTGACCATGTATCGACGTTACTCCTAATTTTGCTGGTAACTCAATTGATGATGAAGTACTTGATGTTGCTGTTAAAACTCCCACCCACTGCCTATCTATCACTCCTCCTGCTCCCGCTGAACCATCAAAGCCAAAACACAGCATCGGATCACAAGAAATAGTTGAGATTTTGTGCTTTCTGACTAATTCTTGACTGATTAAATTAGCCATCGCACCTGTATCGATCAAAGCAAAAACGACTACTGGAGAACCTTCATTGGACAAAGTAAATGGAACAATGAATTTCCCATTAGCAGTTTGACAGGTATCAATCCTGATTGAACTAATATCAATATGTACCTCTTGTTCTTCAACATTCGGATAAATGATTTCATTCATACTTGAAAAATAATGATCAACAAATTCGTTTGTTGCAAGTGATTGTTCTTCCGAAGTGTTAACAAAAGCAATTGAATTGATATTGAATTCTTCAGTCGAACTTTCTATAACTTCTTCTCGTTGATCTTCAAAGTTGACTTGTGAAACCGACACTGTAAACATCATTCAACTTCCCCAATTTGGCAGAGGAAAATGATTAATAGTACAGTTTTTCATAAAAGAATCTAATACTGCACACCTGGGCCATTTCACCCACACTACATATGTGCAGCAAGCTAAGTCAATAGTTGTCTATCATGTACATACAGGTCTGCTCAGTTTTTTGCCCATCAGAATAAATAAATCACATGTTATACCACATGTAACTTTTTCGACTTTGAAATTCTTTTCCCAAAAATTCACTACATATAATTCTGTAGCTGCTCAGGCAATATTGTTGAAGCTATGTCTTAGTAACAGAAAGTGTGTTACATGCAGTTGAGTTGATGAGATCACACCAAAACATTGAGTCAGTGTATGTAGTCAATCTTTTGGAAGCTTTTTTCAATCTGAAAGAAGTTACAGCATGTATTACATATGAATAACTTGTCCTGATGAGCAGATAACTGAGCAGAACTGTATGTACATGATAACCACATATTCACTGAGCCTGCTACACATATGTAGTGTGGGTGTTATGGCTCAGGTGTGGAGTGATAGACCATTTTATGACAAATCATACTCCCAATCATTTTTCCCTGCCCACTTGGGGAACCCGAATAATGTCTGCAGTGCGACTTGATGTTCAAGAATTGTAATTTTTCCTGCAAGGTTTTGTTTTGATTTGGACAAACTCCTTTTGCATGAGTTCCTTGTAAATCATAGTTCTTCAAACATCTTGCACATAATTTACGTTCTTGACAAGCCTTCATAATCTGAAAAAATATTGAAGGTTTCTTCTTTGACGAATTCAAATCGATGGCATCAATATCCATTGGCACTGCTTGATCTTGCCGATGAACTTGAACTTGAGTTGGTCGGAACTGGTGAATATGCTGAGAATCCGGTTTATGAACTTTCTTGATGTACGATGAATGATTTGAAGGCAATTCTGAAAGTTCTTGAACAATTTCCGCTGCTTGTATTGCTAAATTCATTTTTTCTTGAAGAATCTTCGTTCTAGTCCAACCAGGTAACCTACACGCTTCAGCCAATATGTCCGGATCCAAACCTTTGACATATCTCAAAATTGCGTCTTCTGGCGAAATGCTGACATGAATAACTAACGACCTGAATCTTGAATTATAATCAACAATCGAATGAGCTCCTTGTCGACAATTATCCAAATTCTTTCTATTTGTTCGATCTTCATTCTTGTCGGCAAATATGACCTTCATTTCTTGCAAAAATAACGAGAATGACGTCAAAGGTAACAATCTATACTCCAAAGCTTTTAAATCATCAAAGCCATCAAATACTCCTGACTCAGCTGCATTCTGTTCCAACAAAGAATTAAACCAAAAACTTGCTGTAGACCTCGGTTCAAACAAAGTTGAAAGCCAATTGATTTTAAACCTATCGTCCTTCGTAGAGAAATAAGCTTCATTTTCCCTCATTTCCTGATAAAAATCTTGAAAGAAAGATTTCAAATGCGATGAAGTACCACTGAAACGTATATTATTTCTGAAACGAGGAATTTGAACAGCTTGTGAAGCGTTTGAATGAGAACTTGAAGGCTGAAAAGGGGCTTGAAACGAAGGATGTTGAGGAACATTTGCAAACTGAGGTATTGGTGTATGTTGACGAGGTTCATACTGAGGTTGAGGATTATACATTGGAATCTGAGTATTAATTGGAGGTGGAACAAATTGAGGATTGTGATTAAAATTGTGAAAAGCATCAGCTTGAGGAAACCGAGGTTGAGAGAAGGAAGGTTGCGCAGGTTGAGGAAAATGAGGTTGAGTATGAACTCGAGGAGGTTGATTAAAATGAGAGAATTCAGGATTTGGTTGAGAATACTGAGGAGGAGCAGAAAATAACGGCGGAACAGAAGTCTGCAACGGAGGTTGAAAAGAAGGATGAAATTGAGGAGGAGGTTGATTAAAATTAGGAGGATGAACGAAAGGAGGAGCTTGTTGATGCGGAGGTAAATCTCTTTGAATATTCAAAACATTAAGGGTACACAAACATTACAACCCATTTGAAAAACCCATTTGAGAAAAAATAGAAAAACCCATTCAAAAAAATATTTTTTTGAACAGAAAATTCCAGAGGGACCCAATTTATTTTTCTGTTCAAAAAAATAATTTTTTAAATGGGTTTTTCTATTTTTTCTCAAATGGGTTTTTCAAATGGTTTGTAATGTTTGTGTACCCCTATTAACTCCTTGAGTTAAATCTTCCACTGAAACTTGAGGAATACTTTGAGTTTCGTTTTGACTTCTCAAAGAATTCATTTGGGCATTTGACAACTGAATCTGTAATTGATGAACTTGTTCTTGTAGCAATCGAACTTCCGAAGGTGTTGGCACTCGAGGGGGATCCGGCCGTACACTCTCCATATCAAACAAAGATGAAATATCAGTATTACCCGTTCTTGGATTCCAGGGATCCATATCAATCTTCTTCTTCTGACTCTGAATTTACTGAAGTATCTCTTGAAAATTCTTCTCGACGATGTCTCAAAAGATGAATAGATTCGATAAATTCAATACACAACAAGTTATCTCCTATGAAAGAAGAATTGTAACTACTACCTGTAAATGGATTTTCTTCTGAATAATCAAAATAAGGTAATTCTTGAAAATGAAATAAAAGTTCTTCTGAAGAGATAGAAATAGGATGAATATAAATTTGATAATAAGCTTGAATAAAAGAAATATTACTAAACATAAAACGATAAATTATAAGAAAGAGATTTATTTTATTTTATTAGTTTTTATTAAGAGAAAAAAAATATTAAGAATTTAAAGGAAGAAGAAAAAAAAATTTAAATTCTGAGTTTTAAAGATCGAAATTAAAATGTGATGCTCTACCTTGTATATGAAATACAAAGTCTGGTCTTAGACGATTGAAACCCGTCCTGGTCTGGTCTTGGTAAATGAGTTTTTAAAATGGAAAGTAAGATGATAATAATTTCGATAAAGAAAAGGAGACAGAGAACAGAAACAAAACAAACTATATAGAAAAAGAGAAACTAAATCAGGCACAACAGAAACCGTAACAGAAGATGACATCATCCCATAACAAAGATAAAACTACTATAAAACTAAAATAAAACGTCTAACATTAAGATCTAACATGGTTCCTTATACATAAAAGAAGGTCCCTTATCCGTGTCCTAACAACAGAAAACGTCCGAACACGTTTATGACACCACTCGCCAAAATCATACGAGGGCCAAGAGAAAGCAATTCAACCTGAGTCCTATTCCTTGAACTTGAAGCGGACGCCGCGCTAGAGCGAATTTGAGTCTATCTTTGTCCAGGTAAACTTTGAACGCAGGGCACACCGTGCGTTTCTGTGTATAGAAAACATATCTGACGCATCCTTACCCCTACGACTCACAAAATCTCCGAAGTCCATGAGATGCAATCAATCTCAAGGCAGGTGTTTCAGCAAGTCAAAGAGCTCACATTGATCACCGAATGAAGTGATAATTGATCTAAACGGACCCAATCCCTCATGATCTCGCCGGTATTGTCAAAATGAGCACTCGGAAAATGTCTATAAATCACCCTCAACCAATAAAGAGCAGAGTATCAAACAATGCGGAAATATGAGCACTCTTCTTCCTGTCTCATTGGTACGCCGCGAGCTCTAACTTAACACAAGTCCGAAAACTGACGCCTACTGACGCACTTGAGCTAACTGTAAGGATCTGGAATGTATGTACCCACCATACCTTCTCGAACGTGTAACACATTAGTAGAAATTACTAAAGATATAAAGTGGACTTTCCTTTTTACCTCTTTGTTGGTTTTGCTCACCTTTGAATAATTGCAGGTTAGTTGCAGCTTTTCATGTGTTTTCTGTTGGCTTGTGGTATTGTGCTTTCTCTATTCCACATCGAGGGGGCGGGTACGCTAGCAATACGCTTATTTTGAAGCAGCATATGATTCAGCAATGGACTGTGTTACGTCTCATACTCTTCCTGATGAAGGACATCATTCCTTTTTAATTTGTCATCAATTATACACAAAGATAAAAGATCATACATTCTGGGGTTCGGCTTGAACGCGACTTGTTTGATTGAGGCCTTAGTATCAAGACAGATCTGATGGAATTGAATGACAAGCCTTAGTAGCTTCCCAAAGTTTTTCAAACATTTCATGGTTCTCGCCTAGAGCATAAGTAAAGGTTCGACGAGCATAAAAGCTCTTTTCAGGTATAGGTTTTTGTAGTATTTCTTGTTCTAGATTCTCGATTATATCATCAAGTAGATGTGCTTGTCCTGTTGCAACTCCTGGGAAACCTGTATGTTCGATATGTACCTTTTAGAATGGAGGGAAAGGTATATAAGTATAAGAGCGGATCTAGTTCCATCAAGGATGAAGTAGTAGAGGAATGACAAACAATATGAACATGAAATTGGTAGTAACTTGGCTGATAGTGTACAAACAACCTTAGTTCTTCTTTTGGAACTCCATAACGTGCTTGAACTGCTCGGGTACCATCTATAGCGATGGCTTTCAGAAGTGAGAGATGGATAGGTGTTATATCTCGTAAGGATCTAATTGAAGGGTCTTGAACAATTGCAAGTACATAGAGAGATGATAAGCTTTGTTGGTCCCATTTACTGTTTAAAATCAAAACACACGTTAGAAGATCGGATCACTTGGATTGAAGGATTTAGGAAGATTTTCATACGTACAGGTCAGGTATGATCATGAAAGCTTTGTTGGGGGAAAGGTCTTCGTAAATAATCTTTTCTGTCTCAGTTACATGAGAAAGTATATTTCGTAACCTGTGAGATCAAATAAAAACCATCAACAATCTAAAGGACTTGATTTGATCTTTGATCAGATTTTGTAATGCGATATCAAAAACCAAAAAAGACACAAACCAAGTCAATCGTGAATGAGGTATTTGATCTATATAAGTCTTGACAACTTTTTCATAAACGTTTGGTGTTTCCTTAATCATCTTCATACCTTGCTTAGAATACTTTCGGATATGCTATCAAATTTCAAAGAACGTCTCGTTTCAAAACATGATCATCACACATCTCAACTTATAATAAATTCACTAACTGTTTCAGTAGCAGGTGATATGATGGTCATCTTGTAATCCGCATTTATACCTTTGTTTGTGACCCATCCCATAAGCCATTGATAAACATCATTTGAGCCTAAGCTTTTGACTTTAGTGATAGCTTGAACTAGCTCGGAGGCTGATGTGTTTCCCGTTAATGGGGTTTTGGTTATCAAGATGATCGCTGGGATTGATTTGCCATCAGATTCTTCGATTGTACCTAATAAGTTTATCGAATGTCGTGTTAAATCTAGTATTGTTGAAGATCAACAAGAAATAAATGATCAGAAAATGATGTAATTGTCTGCAAGTTTATGGTATCACTTACCGACCTTCGTTTAAGACCTTTTCATATCTGAAGCTCTTGAGTAGTTCCTCAGCACCAGCAGACGACATGGTCAACGAGGAGAGGTGATCTGGCGATTTCACATAAGCACACATGTGACCATGTCATGACTGCATGCGGCCGGGACCCGACCACTTCGGCCTGGCCTGAGGCGGGTCGGATGTCAGGTGCTCTCTATAGCTTCTCAGTCTGCATTTTTGCAACCTGATGCATTTCTGCTTTCTGGTTGAATAGGTTTGATTCTCTGCTCTCTGAATTTTTCTTGGATAATGTTTGCATGAAATACAAAAGTAAAATCTTGCCTGAAATTGATGACTATATTGACACTGTGCAGATGTAGTATTTTTCCACCATGCAAAATGATTAAAATTAATGTCAAAATGATTAAAAATGCTGTGTTAATGCATAAAAATGCACTATTAATGCACCATTCATGTGGAAAAATGCAGCATCAATGCAGTAAAATGCAGTGTTAATGCACACACAAAATGAATTCAGAATTCTACCTTTTTCAATTTTGTTTGTCCTTCAGGTCAATCATTTTTCACTTGGGAAAAATACTACATCTGCCCAGTGTGATGAAGAATTCGTCTCTTTCCTTTATCTTTCAATTCATAAAAAATGTTTAGATTTTCATCAAACTCAAAAAAATGCAAGCTAATTGAGCGACGCAAGAAATGAGAGAGTCAAAGGGCCTGGAATGCGAGTCTGGGTTTCTGAAAAGAAAGGATGACATTTCGTACTTACAATTCGTATGTTGTATATATGTATCAGTTCCATTCATTGGGTCCAAGCAAGCTCTGAACACGCGGCGCAAAATCCTGCCGCTCTTTGCAGAACTTGCAGCGCAATTTTGCCTCCAAGACTGGAGAAAAATCTCACTACCTTGCTAAAGCAAATGCGTTTCAACACTACTCTCGTATGTTGATAACCTGATAATGATTTTGTGAGAATGCTTTTCCATTTGATCCCCGTTCTCATGTTACGTAGAGTATTGAGTAAATCAAGTTATACAACTTGTACCACTGCGGCACTTCAAACACTACCACTTGTTTTTGAGGCAGGTGATATGTCTTTGAATTCTTCGACGCAAACCCTTTTGAACGACATAAAAAGCTTGCCATATCTTGGTCCCTGCATCTAACGTTCATTTCAATTCTTTCACATCATTGTTAAAGTAATTCTAAAACTTGATACCAGCTCTTAGACTAGCTTCCAAGATCTCAAACCATCGATGAAAGGCTCCATAAATCAAATCCTTCTTACTTGTACCCTAATTATGGTGCAATTTTGGTACTCTTTTACACCCATTTCTGCTATGAACGAGTTTGATTTGGGTGAAGCAGAAGCCTTGCGCGGTATAGGTGAGTGTCCACCTACTCGTACCCGGAATTTCTGAAACTCATGAAACAAAAGCTTGTTTCTCACCCGGCCATTTCCTTCAATCAAGATTATCATAAATCTTGGTATGGAGATCTTGATTTGATCAAAACAAGCAAAAGAGACCACTGTGGAACATCTTCACAGAGAAAATGTGAGCCGCTGCTCACTGCTGACCTTCTTTGCATGTCCAGTTCCAAAAATTGATATATACCACCGGGATCAACCAAACTAGGTGCAAGAGACCACCTTCAGTCATATCTAGGGAGGTCTCTGGAGGATAGGAAGAAAGATTGCCCCTTCTTCACTTGTCCAACTTCTCTGCCTGATGGTATGTCACAATTCTCAAGAGACACATGGACATTAGACAAAAACTGATAAACCCTGACCACAGACACGCCTGGAATAGAATCCCTTAAGCTGATGAACAGTATGTTGCAGTCAGAAAAAGAAAATTGGCCTGAATACATCCGGCAGATATTCAAGACCAGAGCATCATACAATGTCAAAAATTTCTGGGGATTTATCTTTGTACTTTCAGATTTTATGCCAACACCGGTTCTTCAGAAGGCATTTTTTGAGGTTTTAAAGGGGCAAAAAATATTTCCAGAAGCGATAGGACATGGAGCTCTTACCAGGTACCAAATTGTGCAAAAGGTATTACTCAGATATGCAGGAAAGATGAAAGAGCATGTTGGCTTGATTAAACAAAAAGAGTATGTCAAGCTAAGAGGACAAAATTCACATTGCCATCAGTGTTCTACTCGTGTTTTGATTCTAATGATTACCACAGGAGGCCTGAAGAAGTGATAGACATCTTCACAAGAGAAGAGCAGGAAAATCTGGGAGAATACAGAATCCAGCTGGAGGAAAAGTGGTCTGCCAAAGATGAAGTGGAGGTTTATAGAAACTGGGCTTCACGTGAGTTATCAGCTTTACATTTTCAAGAATTGTGAAGCTTATATACATTTTATCTCATCAAAAGACATGACAGTGTACTCAAAAGTGCAAGGTTCCCTCAAGGGAGTTCTTGAGACCCAAGCAATTCAGATCAGCTTGTTAAAACCAGTATGGTTGAATCACTTGGGTGCTTTTGCATTCCCAGACGGAATGAGACAAGGTGTTGGGGATGCACTCAGTCAAGATTTTCAACAGCTTACAGATAAATTGGTCGATTCTATTCATGCGTTGGACTATGTGTGGGTCAGAAATCCAAATAGACTCAGATCACTCAGGCTGATAGGCTGATTGGAACTTCATACTTGTGCCTCAAGTTCAATATATGATTTTTGTGCCTATCAGAATGCATTTAGCTATGGTATCCATAATCTGTGCAATAACTATCCACATCCCAAAATAAAACAAATTATAGTCTTCTGGGTAAAATGTAAGTGATTTCCCAGGTTTGTGAAATTGTATGATATCTGAATTCATATTCTTATCCGGACATGTCCATATATAGATATACAGTTCTATCTCAACTTGAAATCAAGTCAAGATACGTGGAACTTGAAGTGGTACCGCCTTATGGAGGAATTGATTGTGAAAGATACAGTGGGGAATCACTTGGAATCTGCCATGCAACAATTTCTAAACAATCCACCGCCTTTGAACTCCCAAAAGAATTTGATAGTCACATTCCTAGAATTTGTCTTGGAAACAACAGAATCTGGAAGTCTCAGAAAATCTGTAGAAAAAGTGCTGCACCAAAAATTGCACTGTTAGCTTTGATTTCAAACTCATTGCTTAGGCGGATATCAAAAAAGGATTACAATCAGTCTACCGCTGTGGGTATGCATCACAGCTTGCAAACAAGAATTGTATTTAGTGCGAGTCCCGCATTTCATTATTGATGGAAATATTTGTCCCAATTCACAAAAATTGGCTTGATGTTCATTGAACTCCAAAACACGACCTGAAATGACTCCTCATCTTGCTCATGGAACGCAAAGAGTTAAGAAAATAAGAGAGTTCTGTGTCATTGTTAGATATGTATCACAGAGATCTCGTCTGTTGCTTCCTGCCGCGCAAGGTCTGAGCCTGTCTGAGCCTCAGCCATGGATCTTGCAGCAATCAGCCACGGTCCGCCGGCCTCGACAGACTCCGAAGAGAGCTCGAATTTCGAAAGCTACCACCGGCTATTTGAATAAGACCGAGGCCGGTAATCAGCAGCTCCTTTTCAGCACCGATTGATAAAATGAAGTTTGAGATGTGCAGACGTCATCGATCACTGTCTTCCATCTCACTCTTGTTGACCTTCCTCACCATTTCTTCAAATCCTTCTCAACTTCATAAAGATTTCAAAGATATCTCCCAGAAAATCATAATAATCTATCAATATGCAGTCTGTGAAAGCTGTCGGTGCCGCTATTGGATCGAAGGTGGGTAAGGCCGCTATCACCATGAAACATGACGACGATGTAGTGATCTGCTCAGCAGGTATGAAGATTCAAACTGCAATCTCTCTCTATCTCTTGATCGCAATTCTGAACTCTCACTATCGGTAACTCTCTTTTGACCCTGTTATGGACCGCTTTTATGATAGTGAGGACTCCAATCAGTAAGTTGACCTTCCTATCTCGATCGATAGTCTGAAACCCCTACTTATTCATCTCTTCTATTTTGGGTTCGTCACCTAAGCTCGAGCCAAGAAAGGTGGCTTCAAGGACAGCTGTCCCGAAGACCTCTTGAGCGCGGTATTGTCCGCTGTAGCCGAACGTGCGCGTCTACCTGACAAAGCATTAGTCGAAGACATTGCGGTCGGAAATGTTTTGGCCGCCGGTGGAGCAGCCACAGTGTCTAGAATGGCTTGCTTACATGCTGGTTATCCAGTAAGCTCTTTGGCATCTTTCCACTCTTCGCTGCTTCAACTAGGTTCTTTTTGCCAAAGTCTTGCTATTGCGCCTTCTTAGAGCTCTACCGCCTTGAACACAGTTAACCGACAATGCTCCAGTGGATTGGCTAGTATTACACAAATTGCCAACGAAATCACAACCGGTCAAATTGACATGGGCATCGCTGCCGGTGTGGAGAGTATGACGATGGGCTATGGTGCAGGTGCTATGCCAGAAAAGATGTCTGACAAAGTTACCGCTGTACCTGAAGCCGCGGATTGTCTTCTACGTGAGCAGGACTGGCGTGCTTTTGTCAATCTATATCATTGGTCTGATCAATTTGATTTTCCATTTCATTGTGATCCGAAGCCATGGGAATCACCAGCGAGAATGTAGCTACCGAGTTTGGTATCTCACGGAATGAGCAAGACGAGTTTGCCGCTAAATCGTTTGCGAAAGCATTAGCCGCTCAACGAGCTGGCAAATTCAAGGATGAAATCGTCCCGGTGCAGGCTGTTTGGACAGACCCAAAGTCTGGCGATGAGAAAAATATCGTCGTGTCTGAAGACGATGGGATTCGGTAAGCAAACTCCATTCGATACTGTCGGCCCATTGTGCCCCCCTGTCCTTAACTTAATCCTTCGCTTACTGTTGCTAGTGACGGTGTGACCGCTGAATCACTTGGAAAACTCAAACCAGTTTTCAGCAAGACTGGATCGACCCATGCTGGAAACGCGTCTCAAGTTTCGGATGGTGCTGCTGCTGTCCTGTTGGTCCGTCGCTCGGTTGCCAAAAAATTAGGCCTACCCATCTTGGGTAAATTTTACACGTCAGTTGTCGTGGGTGTACCACCCCGAATCATGGGTATCGGTCCTCTCTATGCTGTCAACAAGCTTTTGGAGAAGTGTGGGATTCGTAAAGAAGAAGTTGACTTCTATGAGATCAATGTTAGTAGTCTCTACTTCTGGATCATTGTCGAAAGATCACTTATAACTCATTTGCTTGTTGTGGTTGACCTTTTCCGAGTAGGAAGCCTTTGCATCACAGGCTGTATACTCTGTCAAAGGTTTAGGAATTCCTTTCGAAAAGGTGAACCCTGTGGGGGGTGCCATTGCTTTTGGGCATCCATTGGGAGCCACCGGAGCCCGACAAGTTGCCACCGCAATGTCTGAAGCCAAGCGATCCCGCGCGAGTATCTTTGTGACCAGTATGTGCATCGGCACTGGAATGGGAATGGCCGGTCTTTTTGTGAATGAGCAAGCATGAGTCAATCAAATGGGCAACTTCTTATCGTGTACGTCTTTGTGGACATGTAGGCATATGTATTTGTCTGTTTGGTACAGCCATTTTTGTTTTCGTTTGTAACAATCTACTTTCACAGTATCATGCATCCTGTCTGCACCACCCATAGAAGCGAGGATTGCAATGCTTAGATTTAATGAGCATGCGTCGTCCAGCAACACAGTTACAGGCTCACGCAGACTAGTGTTTGGAGCTTCTCCACCAAAAAACCCCGAGTCTGTCCTAAGCCCCTCTTCGAGGACGCGGCGAATGCGCTCGTGAGGGGCTTTGTTAAGCTTATCGGGTTCTTGAGGTTTTATCTCGGAAATTATGTTTCACTTTGTTTTAAGATAATCACCCTTGGACTGAGCATCAATATACATTGAAGGTTGTGAAAGCAATCAAGTTGAATTACTCAAATTGAATTATCTCGCTGAGGTAGCACAAACTTACCAAGTTGTGAGTCGATGTAAAGAGTCGGGAAAGTCACCAATGGCAAGAATAGGTTTTGGTGCAGGTTGTGATTCGAGCTAAACTCGCGTTGTTGAGATTAGCTTGAATCGGGGCAAGAGCCCTAGATTTCAATATGTAAATAAGGGACTATGAGAATAGCTTAGGGTACGTTTGGTTGCGATTACAGAATGTAAACTCCGTTTGACCCCAGGTACATTGCCCCGGGGCAAATGAGTTTATTGTTCAAAGCGAGTTTTTTTCAAAGAAACTCCGTTTTGGGTACATTTGAGAAAATCATGTTTGGTTGAAAATCCCAACCAGACTTACAATCTCGCAATCACTTCGCTTCCGTTTTGCCACAAAAACCTCTTAGGCCAGCTTATACACTTTTATCTCGCTCTTCAATCTCCCAATTCATTCCATCTCACAGAAAGAAACATAGTCACATTGAATCAAAGTCAAATTTGAACAACCGATTGAAAAGAAACCGGCAAAATGGAATGATTGACTGGAATCGGACCATTAAACAAAACTTAACAACCGATCCAATTTGAACATGCTCCTCCAGTGTCTGTGTTTCTCATCTTCCAAGGGTGATTTGTTAGTGTATCATTTGAAGTTCAAGGGTTGATCAAGATTGAATAATTGATTGTTTTGACTGATTGATTGAAACTGAGCGATCGATTGAAATTGACAAATCGATGGAAATTGCACAATCGACTAGAAATTGAACAATCAATAATTTGTTTCTAAACTGGTTTCCAAATTTTCATATGTGCATCACAAGAGACGAGAAATTTCTTACACAAAAGGAATCAGAATTAACTTCAGTTCTAGATTCATGTTTGAGAAACCCAAAATAGATTTGAGGCAATGATCGGTGAGACAAAATCAGAAGGAAAGGCAGCTAAGAGCTAGAAGTAGAAGTGAAGATTGGGTGGTGAGTGTTGAGTGTGATGGTGTAGTGTTAAAGGTGTTGATCGAGTCGAAGAAATAGCATCTGGTTTGCCTGTTATGACACCAAGGAGGCTCGAAGTCTTTCAAGATGAAATTTTGTTAAGTCCAAAAAGGAGTTTATTGCACGGATAAACTCCCTTTTGGCGTTTATCCAAAGTCTTGTTTTAAACTCCTTTTGGGACGGGGAAGGAGTTTATTTTGGGGTACCATAAGTGGTCCCAAACGTCTTTTTTCATCAGCGATTATTTTGAAAAATAATCGCTATTATTCAAAATAAACGCTGAAAATAAACGCTACCAAATGTACCCTTAGGTACATATGTTGAGAGATAAGAATCAAATATGGTCCGCTTGGGGCGGCCATTACATGTACAACTTCAGGGAGAGGTGGGAGGGAAAAAAAAGTTTCAGACTCAAAGAAGTTCTCAAAGAACAATACATGATTGTGAGAAGAATCTGAGAGAATAAAGAATAGGATGAATAGGATTCAATAAAGAAAGTGGGAATGGGAATTCAGAGATCGTTACGGTTTATAAGTAAGATCGGAAAAGGTAAAGAGCATCTTTATAGAAGGTAAACAGGAATGATCTATTGGGATGTCGGAGAGTACAGCAATAAGATCATGATGACGTAGAGGCTTACAGAGATGCTTGTCAGAGCTTCGGCCCACCATTTTGCACGTGTAACCTATTCTCGTTTCTAGAAGCTCGCTCCTAGTTCCAATCATAATGACACAAATCACGGGTAAGAAGTGAACATTCTCATTACCAAGGAGATCAATAACAAAATCCACCACGAAGGTATCATTAATGTTACAGGTTCTTACACCCTTAGCTTTGGATATATCATTCAAATCAAAATAATATTCCTGAAGAAATTCAAGAATACATCATGAGAACGAAGTTTCCAAGGATGTAATTTGTTAGGTTACTCACCAGGAAGAAGTAATAATAACAGTATACAATAGTTCCATTAAGAGTAGACGGTAGCGGTAATAGCTTGGGATTGTAAAAATTACCATGCCGGAGAATCAGTATTAAACGATGTTGTGGACGATAAAAAAAGTAGATCCTCATCTTTCAAGGTTCGTGCCTTGTAGATACTATTCATAGTGGAAGTGAAGGCAAAGAATTGCTCAAGTTGATGATATTATCATACATATAAAAGAAAGATTGCTCGATACAAAAAAAAAGCGCCGTCCAAAATTAATGCCGTCAGTGTCGTTGATGCCCCGATCTCCACGTCCGCAAATGTTGCCCTTTGACGTAGGCACCCCTGCAATGCGGCATTAGCGCACGCCGTCGACGTAACAACGTCACACTCCGGCGTTGACACTCTCGGTTTTTTAGTAGCGCACCCCATCCCATCAATGCACCGCCATACCACGCAGTGAACCCCGTTGTGACCATCCACGTCTCTGTTTCCACCGTGACATGCTTAAGCATTGTGACAATACACTATGGCCATGACTACACTTTGTTCTCCTGCTCCGGGACTTCAGTGTCCAGACCGTCATCTATTTGAGACCCGCGTCTCTCGCAAGTCATCACTATAATCACCGCCCGTTTCCTTTAAACTTAGGCCAGTTACACTGGCGAGGGTCCAGTCCAACATTGATGTTTTCTCCGCTGTTGTACTTTGCCTGGCTGCCTTATCATTTACCACCGTAATTCACTTGCGATCCCATACCCCGTTAAAAAAGGCAGCATTAATGCACTACGAACTTCATTCCTTTCAACTGTCACCGCCGGCAACATGTGTCTGCATTTTCTCTCCTCATTTCCGTTGCGCTTTAGTGGTATTTTCCGGACTCAACATACAGTACGTTTCCGCTACAGCTTCTCATGTCCTTTGTTACTATGCTGACAATGCCTACAGCGCAACGCTGTCAACCTCGACGTTGACCCTCGATTTCAATGCTTTGTCAGTGATATTACTATCCGTTCTGGCACACTTGACCGCGTCGAACTCTTAATCGCTGGAAATATAGCCAAAACCGCTCTCACGCACAATCGTGCATATCGAATCGATGGCGAAGTTGGTGTTGGCGGACGTGATACTGTTTCTATTCTTTTCAAAGACGCCGCCCATACTATCAGCTTCGATCATGCCGCTGTTGATCTCAGTTTGTTGTGCAACAAAGTATCCGCCCAGGGTATTGGCCAAATCGTCGATTGGAGTCGCAGATCCGCATATGGCGGCAGTACCAACGTTGAAGTCATCAGAGTTCACCATCGAAGTCTCGCCGGTAATGTAAGCAATACATGCACCTCCACAGAACCGTCGCTCTATTGATTATTTTGACTTACAGCCCGTGGTCTTTGCCGCCGATTACATCCTCACCCCGTACATGACATTGCCATTATGTCATAATGCGTTGGCAATTGGCAACATTATCAGTTTGCGCGGCCATGTCATTGGACACAACATGGAAAACAATATCTGGGAAATCGAAGTCAGTATAACTTCAATCTCTCATCTACGCACCATGAACTGAATGCTGCTTTAGGGGTCAGAGATACAGAGCATTCATTGCAATTGGCACGTTAGACGCAGCCAACGGCAGCGTGGTTACCCTCCGCTTTCTGCGTAGTATCGATCGAAATTCAATGATTGGGCACATCTCATGACCTCGCATACACCGCGGGACGCGCATCCACTATTCCTGCACACTGCTTTATTTTTCTATCCATTGTCACTCCGCCATCAACGTTTTTGTTGTTTTCAGCCTTTATCAGCACTGCGCTACTGTATATAATTTTATCACACACTCTCGCATTCTTCTTCTCAATTTCTGCATTGACACAATCTAATAATGTTCAAACATCCCACTGCGATCTCTCTGTCAATTCCCGCACACATTAATAGTGCACCGTTAATATGCGTTGCCTCATTAATCTTCTACAATCCCAATCCTGCCGCCGACCTCTACAAATCTTCGAAACGCTGACAAATTCGCCACGTACCTAGGCTAAGCCGCATCTACGCTTTGCCAATCCCGAAGTAGCCATTCAAACATTACAGTTCTCTCTCCCTCGAGTAGAACAGCATCATTGCTTAATGATCACCTCCAATCTATTCCGACACCACCATCGCATCTAACTGTTCTTTTGATATCACAACCCGGCTTATGACATTGTAGTCCACGGGATCATCGCCGATGGTGTTAACTACCGCATTGTGAACCCTAACAATGTGGCCTACCGAACACATTCGTCAGCCGGTGCCGGGGATCTGTCAAGACCGACTACTTACGGTCCGGGTCGGGGAAATCTATTATACGCTGTATATAGAATGCTAAACATGTTGGTCGGCAAGATTCAGGACATCGAATATGAAACGCGTAATTTTCCCACACGTGCATTTCCGTTATGACACCGGTGCCAAAGACGAGCAAGTGCTTAGCTTCGATACCGGTGTAACGTCCATTAGCAATGTAATGAACACTGCGAAATAGCTGAAATCGACTCACTCTTGCGAAAGTGTTTATGTACAAGGTTTAAAAAATTCGGTCATTGAATGGTGCACTGATAGATCCGGGTTCACTGAATGTAGGCATCGCGGGACTTCGCCAATTTTAATATGCACTATTGCAGGTTGGATAACGATCTTCGAGGCCAGTGATGAATGACAACGAGAGGTAGACACACATATTTTATATAAATTTCAGCCAATCCCAATGTTATGTTCAATGCTTTGTTACTAAGCACAGACACTGCATCCAGCTATGATTTACCATTTATCGCCACCGCATGTCGCGACAGGTATTGACACTTGATTCTCTTCCAGCCCACAGATGACCACTCTTGCATGACAAGTACCGCCGCCGCATATTAGATGGTTTCAGGGCCACTTGACCTCAGGCACTTCACTATTTAGTCTTGATTCTTTCGCCCTGCGCCTACTTCTCCGCCGATCTTTACGTCATCAACAATGGAATTGTACTACCGTTTCGTCACCAGCTTTTATGTCAAACTTACCCGCGACCATTGACATTTCGTTTGGGCACAACAGAGACGTTACGCTATCGATTCACTGATCGATTAATGTCTCTAACATTCCACGGCGCCTCAACTTAGGCTGCTATCAGAGCAGAACCCCACTGTGCACGGATGTAGTCAAAGCTCCAGGCATTGATTCCGGTCGATACATAGTTGTCAATCTATGAGCAACTGTTGTATTCCAAGTCAAAATATCAGCGCCAGACACCTCGATGGTGTCGTTACAATGCACTGACAAAGCAACCCGCGACGTTAGTCCCTCCAAATTTCTAGATATACGTCGTTCCTATAACGCTACCCTCATCACTACACATTTCAACCATTTAAACCACTCAGTCAGTCTCAGTCTCTCCCTTTCTCGATATACCATGGCGACGTCATTCCGAACCGAGCAATTACCGATTGACATCCTCGGTGCCCTTTGGATCGAAGCCTCCGTCAGTCATCATGTCCAGCTCTCCTCCTCAGCTATTGACTTCGTTTCGTCAGCCTCCGCGCGGGGGCAACCACTATTTAGTTACCGCAAAAACCAACGTCGTCGTTCGCGGTACTCGCATTTCCATCATTCCAATGCATATAGTCGAAGACGCTATTCATCCGAGGTTGAGTATAGGACAAAAATTCGTTGTCGACGCTTCTCTCGCAAGTAATTTCGACGGCAATCACCTATTGTCGGTTGTTAATAGGGCCGTGTTGCACTATAAGCATGATGAACCTACATTTTATTCACAATTCGACGTCACTCGCGTTAAGTCACAAGGCCAAGTGCTGCACTGCTCCAGCTCTCCGCTCACTGCCGCTACCGACAGTCGCTGCTTTCTATTAGTTTTGCATCGCCAATGGCACGTCAATGTAAGCTTCTTTCGCCATACTATATGCCCTTACTGAAATTGCTTCTTCGTAGAATCGACGTGCAACGCAGTTTATAGTTGGTTATATTGTTCCTGAAGACATGCTCCCCGCTGCAACAGAGTTGATCAGAACAGTCGGTGCAATCGTGGATTTTCAGGGAATATTGAGCGGTTATTGCCATGTCAGGAAGTGTTTCATTGTTACAGTAGGTTTTCGTCAATATCAAGGTTTTCTGTCGCTTAATATCTGCTTTCGTGTCTAAAGGTCGAGGCTCTTTCATATCAACATCACGAACCGCCGCAGCTTTCTGTCAACGAAGAGATCCGCGTGGGTGTGACCGGCTTTGGTGCCCAATGATTCCGCACGGTCATGATCTCTTTCACTTCCAATGCATCCACCCTTACTCTCCAATCTTATTTCCCACGGTCGACATCCGCGCATTATAGCGGAAGTCCAACACTCGGATTAATGATTATTGCTGTTGTTTTCAATTTCGCATCCTCCGCCCGCCACTTCTTGCCACTAATCACTACGATCACTCTTCCGTTTTAAACTGGCCTCATTGTCTTAGACGCTATTGTATAATTGTTAGTGACCATCTAAACCAGCTCCCCAGATCAGATTGTCTGCACCGTTCAATCCAGTGCCCCGTAGCGAAGAGCGTTGCCTTTGACCTTGCCAGTCATGACCACCGCGCCACGTCGCGCAGTGATGCCTCAGCCCTCTGCCTCTATGATGTAGTCGTAATGTTGGCCTCGACCAGTCGGCGATGGTGTTCAGGTAAATTGCACAGCCCAAGATGTACTAAATTTCCTATCAAAACCTCGACGACTCTGTTCCTGGGAGCAGATTCAAAGTATCAACATTCCCAAAATTTGTATAGGACAACACACAACCAAGACCAATCATAATAATTGCCTATCGACACTGCATCGCCTCATGATGGAAAACTATTCATTATCTACGTTCCCTTTGCGCTTTAGTAGCATATTCTGGACAAAAACCGATGTTAGTCTTTGTCGATATTGACCATTCGAGACAAAGAGTGCTGACTGAATTCTCCCAGACGGAATTGGCAATACACAATTCCACACCTTGCTTAAAGCTGTTCGAGACCGACGTCATCATTGATTCTGGTGTACTTGAAGGCATCAAGGTCTTTATTGCCACGGAGCGCAATGGAACCTCAATGAAATTAAATCATGCATTTTGAATCGACAGTGAAGTTGCCGCTGGCGGTAGCAACTCTGTCTCAACAATATTCGAGGACTCCATTACTACTATCTCCATTGACCACGCCGAGGTTCGCCTCAATTGTATGCTTAACAGAGTCACAACACACGGCATTGGTCAAATTGAGGAATGGTCCCGTCGCGTTCTGACGCCAAGTTCGAGATCGGTTGAATACATCAAAGTGTTGCATCGCTGCACCGCCTTTATGGTAAATAATTCCTCAATGATTTTCACCTTTACCTGCTCACCCATGTCTTTGTCCCATTAGCGGCACGATTTCCATGTGATTTACCTTTTGAAACCACATATCACAGACTATCTCAGTATCGACGCTCTCAATGTGGGAAATGTCATTAGCTTACGCGGTGTTGTCGTTGCACATCAGCAAGCTACGAACACATGGGAAATCGAGGTGAGTGTTTAGCCAAATTTTGTATCGTTCAACAATTGACACACCATGTCATTAAAGGTGTCGGAAGTGCAGATGATTCAAGTTCAGCCAGCTGTTAGAGAAAGCAGGCGACAAAGAGGTCTCGCCCCTCTTCCATTGTGAGGTTTAGCACACTGCAAACTCATGTACGTGTCTCTCCACTCCACACGATCTACCAATACTGATCTGTTCTTTCCAGACTACCGAAATACACCAAGCATCGAGTCCAAGTTCACGCTGTCGCAGTACAAAGCATTAATGAGAGTCGCCCATAATAACTCAGAACTTGCAAATATCATTCGGATCAAGATCTTTATTTGCAAATCGCAAAACCTCCCGTTTTACTATTAACTATATAATTACCGACCTTCTCATGTTTCCCCCACTTTTACTCCTATTACAACTATGACAAATAGCGTCCTTTAGTCAATTTCAAGACATTGTTATTCGATCAATAGAAGCACAACTCAAAAGGTGACGCAGATTAAACTCAATACAATGCTCCCCACGCCGTTCTGCAAAGACCTTCGTTGTTGTTAATACTAGGAATGCAATACAGTCACAGAACTACTGATTATAGACTAGACATTGACGGTGTAGCGTAGACATACCAAGGTTGCATTATCACAATGATGCAGTTACAATTCGAGTCTACAGTGCTTCCCTCTGTGAAAAAAACCACTGCCTGACAAATACGTCCTCCGCTCACGACCCTTGCGACTTCCTCACAATTTTGAGCCTCTTCATTGGCACTGATCGTAATGAGTGATATTGTGCAAAAAGAAACCACTGCTCAAGCCGGTTATAAAATCAATGTTGACCACCTCTCAACAGCAACTTAGTATTAATGTCAACTCTCAGGATCGTATCCTCTCGAAAAACGCCATGTAAGATCAGATATATCAATATTGCCGTGGTTGGCTCCATTGCAACCAGATGATGCGATCAGATTTGTTTCAAGTCAGCAGCGACGTAGAAGGTTTACTGAACCATATCGTTGTCTCCACACTCGGCAACGATAGCAATAGTAATCATTGCCACAGCGCAATCCACTTCATTTTTGGCGTGCTACCAAGAAGGCACACAAAGAGGTGATTTTCCGGTGCTTGAAGCCAGCCGCAAGCTCCATTGATCAGATTAGCCACTTAGTGTTTTATAAAGTGATGCTCAAACCTTCCATGAGATCCTTTTCCCAATATCGGTATCAGGCGACCAATCCTTCAGCTATGGTCAATGCACCAATGCCTGATCTTTCAATGTTGATCAGCGGGAAGATATGCCGTTTCCCAACCAAGGTAATAATTATTCGCCAGTTAAACATTTCAAAATTTTGGCTGAGTTTGAAGTCTCTGCAACCACGTTCTATCGAATGGTACAACAAACTTTCAATGCTGGGTCTCAGTCAAACCCCATTCGTAAACGTTTTTCGTTTCATGGCACATCAACGCAGCCCTTATGACGCCCTACGCCCTACTGCTTTCACTGTTCGCCGCCTCAGTACCTTTTGTACGAAAATTCAGGTGTTTTCCAACAATTGTTCAATTCACAACTCTGACCCAGGCCAACAACACGACTCTGAAGCTTACGTTGAAAATCTCGACATCAATGTTTCGCATCTCCGCCTCCCCAATCCCAAAGCTAGACGCGAAGCCCACTCTCCAATTGCACAGCGTGAATCTGAGCCAGGTACAATTTCAGTATTGTTTCCAGCGACATACCGAATGACTTACGTGCACTGTCCACATATTCACTTCCCTCGACCATTCTAGAACCGTTCCCTCCAATCGGACAGTTGATTCTGGGAGCGCTTGCGGAGAAGAAGGGATCACAGTATTGCCAAGATCGACGTATATAACCTTGAATGCCATATATCTCCCCCACACCTGTGCGCCTTGAAAAGATCCAAGAGTATCCGACAGAAAACAAATCGGTACCGACCGATAGACTCCGAAAACGCCTGCAAGATGTTCCAAGATGTACAGATACATCTTTTGTGAGGTCAGAATCTTGCCAAGTACACAATTCACATACCCCACCCCCTGAGTCACCCATCCACCTCACCATCTTCTCACCTCTTCCTCACCGCCCATTCACCTCCTCCTCACCTCCCATTCACCAACCCAAGTCTCACCCCTCACCACCCAACTCACCACCGACTTCACCAACCCGAGTCACCCACCTCACCACCCACTTCAACTCCTCACCGACTTCTATCATCTCAAAAACCTTTCCTCTTTCAAATCACAACGACTACAAACACCTCAAGATGTTCCAATCCCAATACCGATCCAACTGATATCGATAGCAACATCCCCGCCCCACCTCGAAAATCACTACCTGGACCGACGCTGAAATCTATGAATGACTATGTCAAAGATTTTGCTCCTCAACACGGGTATTTAATTTCAATTCATCAATCAAGCCTCACCAAGAAACCTTTTTGTACTTATTTGTGCCACCGCAGTGGCTTACCAGAACTTTCCAAAGACGATCCAACCAAGGAAACGAAGTCCCTCAAGATCAACTGTCCATTTAAGCTGAAGGCTCGATACAACGCGAGCACTGTACTCTGGACACTCTCGCATGTCAACATCAAACACAACCACCCACCCAATCTCAATCTTCAACCACCACAGCCACCCGCAACCCTATCGATTCAATCTCTTCATGCGGAATCAACTTCTGCACCATTGATAGACTCAACCCCAATATCTTTGGACCCTTCATCACTCGATGAGGACAAAACTTTACTACCAACATCCAAAGTCGAGTTGTTTCTTACCTCATTTGGGTCAAGAATTCGAGCTCTATCAATCAAACAACAACAGGACGTTATAATCAAGATCGAGAACATCCTGTTAAACGCTCACGAGTTCAAGGTGAACCCAGCGAATGTAACCTCAGAAGTAAGTGGAAGCATTTAGTTGAGCTGTCAATATCCAAATTGATGATGACCGATTCAATAGGAGTCACCAAAAACTCATGAAATTAATCACAACACTAAACAACATGAACCCGTTGAACAATCTGAGCTGTCGGTAATCTCTGAGGTAGGTAACAATCCCGATTGAATTTTTCATTTCAGTTCATTGATAGTAAACTGTATTAGACAAAATTTTCAAACTCCCAATCTGATCCTTCCGAAGTCGAAGTGGAACAACTCTTACTCAACAAAGAATCCAACCAATGTGTAAGCATTTCTATCTACAATCCCCTTGTACATCACACACAACTCACCCTGACTACGTCACATTTAGGCCCAGCAAGAAATATTAGAGTCACTCGATGGCCCATCTAATTGCGAATCAACTAAACCCCAAGATACCAATCACCCACCGAGTCCATCACATGTCACGCCAAGACTTTGCTCACCTCCACAGACATTGAACACAACCGTCAGCCAACCTCAAACTAACAAACGCAGACAGACCGAAATTAATGTAGTGGGTGTGAAAAAGAGAAAACAAAACAAATTGACATGTGTGGAAAAAGAAAATAAGTCGCAAGTGACATCTAGGGTGACTCGTAGTTCAAATCGGTCAAAAACTGTTGACTGAGTTTATCTTTTCATTTCCAAGCAAAGCAAGAAAAGAAACCAAATGCAATGTAATTATCTTAAATCCAACCTCGTATTGCAATGAAATAAATTTTCAACTACAATGTAATATTGAAAACTACTAAAAACCATCGCAATGAACATATTAGTTTGCATTAGTTGTCAAAAGGACTCCATTTGTCTCGTTTGCAAACAAATGGGGCATGTCAACAAGTTCGGCCCAATGGTTCATAGACCTTGCCTTCATCATTCTCCAGTGATCATACATTTGTGGGTCCATATCAAGGGCTCCATCAAAGTACGGCGCTGACCAATCCAGTACATCTTTTAGCTCAACATCCCACATCATCCATAACCGGCTGGTTTTTTTAACCAGTGTGATGTATAAAAACTTCATACGATCAGCTTTTGCATGATCTTTACAACCAATAACAGTGACAATTTCAGTCATCAATGTTACTTTGTGAGGATGAATAGATAACATACCATCTGTCGATAAATACTCGCGGCGGATGTCATCGAGCTTGACTTGAAATTCCAGCGCCCAACGGATAAGTTGTCGAGTTTCTCTAGCAATATGCAGGAGCTCCTCGTTAGCTGCTCTCCACACTAGATAAATTCGAATGCCTTCTTTTGTGTCGTCGTTTGAAGCCCATTGCTCTTCAGGATGGCTCAAACCACCCAGATCCCAGAACCCATGGGTCACAGGCATAGATTCAATGTCTTCAAAAGTCAGATCGGCTAAGGCATCCCGTCTTCTGTGCGATGAATTGTACTTTGAAACATGTCGATGATATGTACTGAATTTCTTCTTTAGCAGTGCGTTTTTTCGATTCCTTTGTTTATTGATCCAGGTTTGCTGGGTTGTTCCTATGACTCAATCTCATATAAGTGACACTCGCATATCAATAAGTGACAAGACTTGCCTGTAGACATCTCAGAACGCCTTTGGTTTTCAACCACTCCCACCTTTGCCTCGTAAAGCTTTGCCTTTGCAATTTGGATCGTCAGAAGTGCCTTCTGATCACCGTCTGATACAAGTAATCATCAACATTATTTATAGCAAGGAATTCACGTAAAAAATTCTTACCTGAGGAATCACGAAAGGCCTCGGATCCTAGCTCATTAAGTAGAGCCTGAGCTTTGGTCTCCAGTAGGACAACAGTGTTGGGTAATCTTCTTAGCTCAGTCTGCTCCTCACCGGTCCTCATCCTAGGTGCTTTAGCTTTCAGATCTCGGAGCTTATCACTATTGATTGTTCCAAACGTTCAATGTATTAGCATCTTTGCAAACTTTTCAGTAGACAATTGAAAATACCGTGCTTCTACTAGTTCCTCTTCAAGCTCCAAAAGAACCGTAAGTTGTGTGCGTTTGTCTTTGGCAGTTTCGCTAATGACCTTCTTTTGTATTTCCTTTTGTCTTCCCCACTGAGTCTCCAGATACACTAAGGTATGTGTTGAATCGTGTTTCAACAACTTCAAAAGGTCTGCTTTGGCTTCCTCCAGCCGTCTTTTCACTTCTTTACCTCTTTTTCGGATTGCTCGAACTGAAAACACAATATTAGTGAGGTCTACAAGCTGTAAGATGTAGTTTAGACTTACCGGAATTTGTCTTCAGTACTTCATTACAATGGAGGGAGCGGAGGCTTAGGCTTACCAACCGGTGTTGTTTGGTCGCATATCGGTTAGGCCGAACTAAGGCAGTTAGATCAGACCATTTCCGCTCCATCCCCTCTCCATCAGAAAAGCCCCATCCTAAGTTAAGTCTGGGGTTGTAGTCTAGCTGGCAGCCCCATTCGTGAACGTACGCATGGAAAACGCTTGTACCAAACTTGAGCCGTCCAGCTTGGCGTTCTGTTGAAAATTGTTTTCGCTGTCGCAGAGACAACAATAAGACAAAGGTTTATTAATTGAAAGATGCCTGACATACACTCACTTTCACTATACCTTTCTCAACGCTACACCCAATATCATACAAAAATCCAACTTGATTCCTCCTTTGTCCACGTCCCTCTGCACTTCCTACTATTTCTAATATCCAATGGATCATAGCCAGGCCAAAAGATGACCTGGCGCACTTGTTAGCAATGCGTACGCAATACAAAATGAAAGTTTCACCTACTTTTCACCACTCTGCACTATGTTGATAAGTCGCAGGGTGTGATCATGGCGACATCCCATGCCAAATAGACCGGTCTCGTCACAGCCACCCCAATGGGATTTTCCCCGCACATCATTGGCAGCTGTATGCTGTTCAGTGCAAGGATGCTGAGCCACTCTAGCAATCAGTTCATTCGAATATTGAATGAAAAAAGGATAGGAGAAATCACTTACAACCTCCTTTTCAAGTTCTGCCCTGACATGATCATTATCGGTGACTACGATATGATCACTACTCATGAATAGTTCGGGTAATGCAGGATGGTAGCCGGGAATTGGCACGCTCGCAGCCGCATGTCGGCGATGTTGAAAGTTTCCGTCTAAACACACTATGTAGTCCGGCTCCTCTGGTTTAGTGATTCCAACAGGCGGACCAAAACATCTGGGGCAGTTTGCACTCAGATGATCTATTGCATTGAACTGGAGTACAGAAAACTCTTGTTCTCGAATCTCACGGAGAATTGACCTATACGCGTCCAGAGCCGATGTAAAAGGTTCCCGCCATCTCGTGGCTACCATGAGATTGGGTATTCATATTAGACTAGTCATTTGAGCATTGATAAGATGCACATGAACAAGAACTTACATAGCCGCTTTCGGTGAGTATCATTGGGTTATCATCATCTAATAACTCATCCAAAGCCTTCATAAAACCTTGTATGCGTTGTGCGCAGTACTTCCATACCACTTGGAAGTGTTTAAGCAGGCGGATGGAAAAGGCCGTTTTTGGATGGACAGGAGTCGCACCAATATAACCCATCTCGACAAGGCGGACGGGATCCGATTGACAGTCACAGAACAGAACTTGTGCTTTCTGTCGTGCTGATGCAAGGTAAATGTACGCTTCAAATTCGATTTTGGGTGATAAGCGCATGGTCCAACTTACTGTGAAGGTCAACCATATCAACCCAACACACACGCCGGCGGTATGATGGGCATGTACAGGGTGTTTTCCAATCGCTATCCCAGTTCGCCTTGCTAGCCCAGTTGGATGTTGCTTGTCGACATCGAAGGAAGATGGGTGTCATGCATTTACACTGGTGAGCCCAACGAATCTCTTGTTTGAGTCGTTTTGCATCATAATCAGCTCGCGCCAGGCCTGAAAGAATTTCTTCGTCTTCATCTAGCTCCGAATAGCCTTCGATCTCCTCGTCTTGCTCTTCATCATAACCATCAGTCTCAGGTAAATCTTCATGTTCGAATCTAGGATGGAAATCAAAGTTAAAATCATTATTTTCGAATTCTTCTGACCGATTGTGCAACAAATCTTCATCAGTGGGTGTTGAGTTGGATACTGTGAGTTCACTCGGATCTGCCCTGGCTGCTGAACGCCCTATTTGTCGCTGATTTTTTTCTCGTTGGCCTAAGTAAGCCTCTTGAAGAGGTGTCACGGGCTTTGGACACGATCGTATCTTTTTGAGAGGACGATTTAAGGGGTTGGGCATTTTAGGAATAGACTTTGAAGTGTGTAGCTTATGGCAACTAACTTATCAATTCGGAGCTCATGCAATTCCTTCCGATTTGATTTCCCAATTGGGACATCCATCTTGTATCATTTAGTTGATTTTGGTCGATTTTAAATTATCGCTCCAACATCCAATTATGTCCATGTCATTATGTAACGGAGTATAATTACCTCTATCGTGACTGACCAATCATGAGAGAGAGAGATGATAGTTAGCAGGGAATGGTTCAGATAGAATAGTGTTTTGAGCTATTCAATGCAAAGTTGAGTGCACATCATTGATATAAGGTTGAAAACTTACTCAGTATAACAAAGTCTTCTGGGCAAACAAAAACACTTTGTTATAATGAAAGAGTTTTTTGATAAGGATTTCAAAAGATGATCATGAAACCTTGTTACATTTCAAGGTTTTGGTGATTTTGTATCAAAGAGACTGTCTACAGTCTCTAGCTGGGTTAGGAAAAATAGAGCTGACTTGAGGAGTGTCTTTGTCAATTGTTGAGACGCAAATCAACAATTGACATTTGTGCAGGGGAGATGGAAATTGAGCTTGGGTAATGATTGGACAGCATAGCACTATCAATGTGCAAGTTTCATGAGAACATACCTACTCTCATGGCAGGTTGATTGTGATTAAACCAGTACATTGTAACATGTGCAGATGGATTCTAAGACATGGTGCTCAAATGAAAGTTTTACATCTTGCCACTTCAATGAAAAGTTGAAATTGTCTCATGTTGGGATATCATAACTCAAGAGTTTTGTTTGGTGTAAAGCAAACACTGTGTGCTTTACCAATACCAACTATTACTTGGTAATGGTGCTAAAAAAAAGGTAACTTCACCATATATTCCAAACAAAAAGAAAGTTGTTTTTTGGTTAGAGCTATTTCAATTCTTCATTTATCTTCAGATTTGGAAATGTTTCATTCAAGGACTGTGTCTCAAAACCAGAGAACTGGTGATAAATTCACAACCAACCAAGAATAAGTTTATGTATAATATAACATTCAATTAGGAAACAAGTTCAACTTTGGTTTTATCTCAATAATTGCAAAAGTTGTATTTGTGCACTCAAATACCACATGTGCCGACACATGTTGAGATTGGATTCTCAAATCACAATGAACATGAGCTGAAATTATGTATCATATGAGATTGGATTCTATGAACAACAGATGAAATTATGTATCATATATTTGACTTGTACTTTTGTAGACTTAGGAGATCCAATTAGGACACAAGTTTAACTTGAATCACATAACTCAACCTTTGCAAAAGTTTTATTAGAGCACATGGTTTCCAAATAGGACCTACATGTTGTTGCTGAGATTGTCTTTGCAAAAACAGAGACAAAGTTGCAAGTGTATCATATGATTGACCTTGCACAAATGCAGAGCTATTACATCCAGTCATGAAACCACTTCAAATTTGCTCTTACCGTGAATATTGCAAAAGCTTCATTGAAGCAACCAATAGAACATGCACACATCCAAGCTTACTGCTCAATATTCTTTTCTTCCTTCTTCCTTTTCACAATCCAAGGGGAGATTATATAGACCTTTGAAATTGCAGTGGATATTGGAACATGTGTCAAAGTTCAGCCTCATTATGTCATTTGTATTCAGACATTTGCTATTACCTCTCCTTTTGCTGAGTTTGTCCACAAATAGGTACCTTTATAATATAATCCAGGACTGTTCACTATGGACTCGTCAAATCAAATTAAAAGAGGTTCATGACAGGTGTGAAAATATGTCCAAGGGATTGAACCATGTTAACTATAGAAAAGTGTCATGGAGGTTCATTTCAGTGAAAATAAACTGGTTGAGTAGTAGGAAAACTTTGTAGAAAGTGATAACAAAGCTAGTTGAGCAATCAAAAATATTACAAAAGGAAACCATAAATACTAAGTGAAAACTGCCAAGATATCATCACACACTTAATTGGGACAAGTTTGAAATTGAGTTCTTGATTGAAGTGTATATGTGTTGGGGGTCAAAGGAATTGATTGAATCAAATCAGATTGGACATCAAATCTTTTGCAATGAAGACGTGATGTAAAATTACCTTTTTTTGGTGAATTTTTCCTGTGAACATCATGACTGGCTCTGGGACCTACCGGTTCCTAGGTGGTTTCATTGACTTCTACTCATTCAGATATTTTGGCAAGTTATTTGACACTATATGGTTATTCAAAACTCCTCTTGCTGTTAAACTTCTTCTCAAGTTATCCGACTCAGTTCTCAAATCTAGGGATATTAACGCAAATTCTATCACGGTATTTGCAAAGACTCCTTCCAGTTGTTGTTTGACTGAAACATCCAATCCTCTTCGAATCTTGAATCTTTGGAATAATAAATATACACATGAAATATAGAGCTGATAGAACATACACTGGCACATGAATAAAGGACATACAAAATATGTTAACACATCGAAGAATGTAGATGATTCAAAACTGAAAGACAATCACAGTCACACTGAATGTGCACCACTGTATATTTAGGAAACATCCAAAAAATCCTGAGATGTATTTCAATCACCCAGTAGCATAATTCACAGCCTACATTTGTAAACTTTGGACATTGAAGTACGTTGAAATATTCGAAGTTCCACAGCAGCAACAGTTGAAGATATAGATACGACCGGTCAAAGATGGTGAACGTGAACTGTTGAGGAACTTGCTCTGCAGTTCACTTCGAATTGTGAACTACATGACAAGTTCACATACAAAATGCAAACTTGTCATGTAGTTCACAATTCAAAGGGAACTGTAGAGCTAGTTCACTCAGAGACAAGAGTCAAGCGACAAAGATAAGTCAATTAGAGGACGCTATCCCATTAGCTTGATGAAACGAAAACAATGAAATAAATACAAATAGAATATTCAAGAGCAGATAGCGCGGTAGACCTCTTTGAACCAAGTGTCGTAGTTGGAACGATCATTCTGGAATCGATCGATTCCTTCAAAGTGCTCCTGTGGTGGTTTTTGTGTCATACTTGAGATGTTCGCAGCCATCGTACAAGGCCGTGATGAAATAGATGAAGTCAGGTTTTTGAGTGATTGAAAAAACGAATGATAGGTAACCCATATAGAATGGCAACTTTGGATACCAAGGCTGGAGACAGGTCTATAACTGTAAGAATCCACTCACCTGACTTTTCTATAAGATAAGGTCTTTGATCAAGGATTGTAACCGGGACATTAGTTCAAAGATGTTTAATCATTTGGGATGGACAAAGTGGAATCAGCTCGAGCAAAGATACCAACTAATGTAGTCTTGAGGAGATAGTGGTGACAGAGATCGTTGGAGTAGAAGAGTACAAACAACTGACTTACTGAGCTGAGGTAAGTGAGTGAAACAGGTGAGGACTCGAGGAGTGAATGAGAAGATTTTACAAAGTCAAATAAATTGACAGGACCCTGGCAAGCTCCGGTCGAGGTTCCTCAGGAGTAACTTGAAAACGTGACCATTTTTCATACCAAAACGAGAAAGTGAGAAAGCTTGAGAAAGTTGTTCAAACCTGTTCAAACTACTCTAGCCTGTAAATTTCATATAGGATTGTGAGCTGTACATGAGACTAAACCAACCTGGACAGTTCACGATCGTGAACTGACCCAAGCAGTTCATGATCATGAACTGGCCCAGCCCAGCTGTAAGTTTTGAAAAACAGTCCAAAAATCGGCAAAAATTGACCATTCTCAATTAGGTACGTTTTTCCAAAAAATCTGAAAGCTGAATTTTCATCAGGGACCTGCACAGGAACTTTCCGGGGTCCTAAATTGACCCAGCTAAAAATTATGAAGGTTCTCACTATATGTATTCGAATGCTTTGATCGGAAATCATTTGCTATTCAAGTTGGTACTTGTGTATATTTGGCTCTTTTGAGATTGGGAATAAACGAACTGAATCAATGGCTTGTGATCAAACTAACATAAACAATTGGAATAACAAACTAAGCTATGTTGAAACGAACAGAGATGAATAGAAATAAACCACCAGTGAGATAAACTGAAGAAGGTCAATGAAAAAATTGAATGGATCGTTTGACTATGTTGAGAGTTTCAGCATATGAATGATTAATGGTTTATACTTATAGTATGACACGGTAAAATTTGTGACAGTGACAATCGAAATAATCATTTGGAAAGTAGTAACATAAGATGTATTTGATTGATTGGAGTGAGTGCAATGTGTGAATAGAAAAAAAAGTACTAGACTTCTATTCAAGTAGATAGAATTGATTCGAATCAAAGAGAGTACATGAAGGATGTGTGTAAGAACTGTGATGAACCTTTTTTTATGGGCGTCTTGACTTGACGGATCATTTCATGATTGATCAATTTGATCTTGTGTCTGTCAATTCTCACCAATAGTGGTGTGATCGCCTCCACCAGTCTGTGTCTCGTTGGAATCGACCGGAGTGCTGGCCTTGACTACCAAATATCTTTTAGCCAAGATATCTTCGATCCATATCTTCACCTTATCATCAGACAGCCTTCCTGCCGCTGAGCCTCTTGCAAGCATCTCGTCGGTAACTCTTGAATCGGGTTGGCGTTGAATTTTGAGCTGTATATCTCCACGGTATGTTCTGGTCTTCAAGGTCTCTTGCGGATTTGGGGTTTGAGGGTGAGTATCCGTCTTCGTTTGGCGTCCACCTGGGAGATGGGCTTCTGAGATCAAAAAAAACACATGAACAAATGTCAATCAAACGTTGTTTGCGTCTAATATAAACATGAAGGTCACCTATAAGGCCATTGAGGCGTGTGATAAGCTCCTTTCTCAACAAGGTTTGAGGAGTGGAGTCGGTCGACTTCTTCTTTGACCTCTGGCTGGCAAAAGTTGCTTGGGTGGCCTCAAGGGCGAACCGTTCGAGTAGGTGAAACTCATCCCGTGCATGAACAGCCCAGTATTTGCTTGACGTGAACTCATCTTGATATAAGGCCCGAGTTCCCGTCTCATTTGGATTCCATGTGGCGACAAGAAGGTGGAAGTGAAATTTGAATTTGTTATTAATGATCTGAAGCTAAAAACCATGAATGAGATGATATTTTTATACGTATGTTAGTCAAAAGGCTTCTGGCTCGAGTTTGGAAATGTAAGGACACAAATTGATAGTACATACCTGCTGAACAACCTTCTTGATTTCTTCGATGCCAACCTTTTCAATCTTTTGAGCATTCACGCTATGTCGGCACAGCTGACCGTGTTTGAAATCGCGAGCCACCGCAGTCAAGCTCACTACTGACTTGAAAATAGGTACGTACTTTGCCTTCTCCTCTAGACTCAAAGGTTGCAGATCATTGGGTGTTGGAATGGTGGAGGTCGGATCCGGTGTAGAGGTATCCGTTGGGTGATCTTCTCGCATCACCTCTTGTACAAGCTGGTCAAAGAGAGGTGGTGTGAAAACGTCCTTCTGCTCGTCGGCAAAGGCTGTCCAAGCATTTCCAACTGTTTTGTTTCTCTGCTTGAAGCCTGCCGATTGACCTTTGGGTGGCACTTCAAAAGAATTAGGATGGTGAGACAGTCGATGAGTTAAGAAGAAATGGAATCTGATTGGATACAATTTGAGGTACTTACTTGGTGTAGTTGTACTTACTATGCTGCATGACTGGTAATTGGTATATTTGTTAGGCTCGCGGGCAAGCGGCCCTTCGTTCCTGACATTGAAAAAGATCAATGATTTTTGGAAGAGAGCTACAGTCAGTGAGGAAAAGCGAGTACATACAAGGATGCATCAAGTGTATGTTTGCTGATTCCTTCGGCTATACACAACATTGTCTTATCGAGGTTATATTGGGCTTGAAGTGATTGTGCCTCAAAGAGAATGGCGGGGGGGGTGCGTGTCTTGAGGCCACGTCGTCGAGAAAGAATCCTATCAGAACGGATTTGGCCCCATTCAAGTCCAATTTCGTGGTAGTTATGAATGGTTGGAAGTTCGAGGGGAGTCTTCTTTTTGCGTTTACCTGGAGCTGTTTGTGTTTGTGTTGGGGGGTTGTGATCCTCATCTTCGGTTGAACCATAGAGCCGACTTGATGATGAAGATGTTCTAGAATCTGATCTGGATCTGTTGGTCTCTGCACCAACGCGACCACCTCCTCGTCCGTTTGTGCAAGTGTTGTATGGCATATTGATTGAGGTCTGGTTGAAGGTAGGTGATAGTGAGCTGGGGAAGAAGGTATTGGTGAGAAAGAAATCGAAGAAGTATCTGTTGAAAAGTTGATGAGTGAGAGGAAAGTCAGTTGGTGAGTTGGCTGGTGAGCAGTTGGTGAAGTGGATGGTGAGTTGAGTAGTGAGGTGGGTGACTCGGGTTGGTGAAGTCGGTGGTGAGTTGGGTGGTGAGGGGTGAGACTTGGGTTGGTGAATGAGAGGTGAGGAGGAGGTGAATGGGAGGTGAGGAAGAGGTGAATGGGAGGTGAGGAGGCGGTGAGAAAATGGTGAGAAAATGGTGAGGAGGAGGTGAATGGGCGGTGAGGAGGCGGTGAGAAGATGGTGAGGTGGATGGGTGACTCAGGGGGTGGGGTATGTGAATCGTGTACTTGGCAAGATTCTGACCTCACAAAAGATGTATTTGTACATCTTGGAACATCTTGCAGGTGTTTTCGGAGTCTATCGGTCGGTACCGATTTGTTTTCTGTCGGATACTCTCGGATCTTTTCAAGGCGCACAGGTGCTCCCCCACTGCCCCAAAATCAGTCACAATCAAGGCCAGAGAATGTAAATGCCTCACCATAGTCACCCATACATTATGTTCTACTAAAAGGGTGCTCCAGAGTCCTTCTCCAACGTTGCGCTCCAGGACATAGCCACGTCCAGAAACGCTGATTAAGTTTACTTTCAAGTCAGATAATGCAAGCCATTCCGGCGATCTCTTGAGGAGAGGTCCTTGGACGATGACTACCGTATTAGACTCATCGTTGGGAGCAGCAACGTCACCTTCTAATGACACGATATCTCCATCATTGAATAGTGTTTTGTCGTCAATACGGATCTTGAAGATCGAATTCGACCAGCGAGCGAGGGTATTCTCTGACACCACCTCGAAGCATCGATGCCACTCTCCGAAACCCCCTAATTTGAAAGTCTGTGAATACGTCAGTTACACCGATGCTATTTCTCAGTGCTCTTGACAATACCACTCACTTCGTTGCGCAAAGAAACAATGCCTTTCCATCGCATATTCAGTGGTGAAGGTAACGACATTGTTGAACTGACAAAGGTGAATATCGGTATTGCAAAACACACTTTGTTGACGAGATGTTGGTAGTGTCCACAACATTTCTATTTTGAACTGCCAGACCCGAATAATCACCACTATCAACTTATGCTTCAGAACATTATTTGTAATCAAGGCACAGTACTCAAACGGCTCAGTCCATGTCACTCCGACATAAAGTGTAGCAATCGAAAGGCTGTAGTTGTAGTCATCAAGTAAATTCCGGAAATGCGGGCACCCTACATGCCGACAAAGTCAATAAAAAAAGGGGTCAATACTGACGCTCTCGATTCATGATATTGTTGCTACCATGGTGAAAAACACCACTGCACAGGGCATTTTTGAACATGTTCTCCGCGATAACGACTGCCTTCAAAAGAAACCAATTTACCAACGAGGATCGTTGAACTAAAATAACGTAGTGCGCTACTGCGTTGATTCTACAGAAGTTAAATACCAAATTCTATATCCCGTCAAAATATGTCGTTAATACAAAGCGGAGTAAAATTAAGACAATTGTCGGAAGACATTGCAAGGTCGAAAAGAGAGGTCGATGTGTTCCTGCCTCACATTTTACACTACAGAACTATACAACGCTGGTATGCTAATATCTATATGCTAATATGTCGATTGCTGATATAGACAGCCCTAGACTCAACTCTCGATATCAGTGAAACGCCGTGTTGATACTCGAGGCTTGATGGCGATACCTACACCTAACTCGGAGCAAAGATCACTGCGCGGGAACACGGACAATGCATTGTTAAGCACATCGATTCACAATTGCGATCACGACCGGGCATGGACTTCGATGCGCATGGTGGCTCAGTGGGTGTGTTGAGTTGATACCGTTGTCGAAAGGCGATTCCATGTCACTTTGGGCCAGACAGACTGCCGACTACGATTGTGACCATGCGGTGCTTTCGTTGAGGCAGACCTGCAACTGTCCAGTTCGTCGCTCATCTTCAGTTGCCGTCAGCTTTTCAAGTCCAAACTGTGACCGCTGACTAGAGTTTTGATACCTGACCAGGAACAGCATCGTGCCTCACTATTCGTTCATTTTTTCATCGCCGCTATGAGTGTGCCTCATTGCTCTACTGTATCATTACGCCGACCAGGACAGCTCCCAACCGGATCAGTGCTCATCATTCGACACGCTTTCGCCGCGCAACGCTATTGACACCTATTCAAATGCCCGGTTAGTCACTATGCCACGACGGTCCAGAAAAACAGTGACCTTACAGTCGGAATTTCTACAAATACTACCGGTGTCCCCCTTGATCCAGCGTTCAATCACTATCTGCCATCATCTTTCCTCCCGATCCTCTGCGTACAATACCACCTCACTTTAGATTTTTAAATTCGTCTCTTAGTCTCCAGTAATCCATACACATTGATTGATAATGGCACTGCAAATGAAGAAAAACAACAACCGTACTCCATCGCATCCAATCCGTGTTGGCTTTATGGGTGAAGCCGGTGCTCAAGTACGTTTTTCTGTTGATCAATTCCACTTTATCGTCAACTGACATTCTGCTTGGCAGGCGCTTGCGAAGATGAACGGCAGCAAGGGTTTCATATCACATCACGCGTCTATAGCCACATCTGGAATGAACGGCGGCGCTCCTTTTGAAAATCCTATCCAAATAACATCATACGGTTCACAGGCTGACACTCTGGCCGCAAAGAATGTTTATTCGATGAACTGCAAACTCATCGGTACCAACAACAGTACCAATGATCAGCTTCATTTCGAAAATGCTAACCGTATCAACCTCGGTTCGGTCGACAAATTCGGCGAGTTCTTTGTCGGGGAGTTGATCAACAAAATCACGATATCGGCGTTGGGATATGTTGTCGGAAGAGATTTGATCACCGACCCGGTCTTTAAAGGTAAAAGTACCGTCGTCGTCACGTTGAAGTCAACTGACTACGATCCCTTGGTTCGTCCACGTTACTCATTTTGGGATAAGTCTCGACGCTAACTTCATTTTGATCAGACCAAGGCCAATGTTAGCTGGCACACCAAGCATTATATTCCTCCCGTGCGCAACATGGAGAAAGCGCAGAATCTCTGCCAGTTGGGTCGTGAGGTGCTGCTTACTGGACAAATTAAAGACTATGACTCCAATCTCTTTATGTGGGAAAGCGAGGTAAGTATGTTGCTGCCTGTTGAAGATCTCCTACTGACGACATCGATTTCGCATAGCAGGTTCATGCAATCAGCATCTGTCATGGAGAAATCACTATTCAATCAACGCCTTCGTCACGATCTGGTGGTGGTCCGAGTGGTGGCAGAATTCCTCTATCTCTGTAAGTGTTAACCTAACCAACCGCCACCGAATTTAACTAATGCTGTAATGATAGAAATCGAAACCCAGGTAGCAATGTCGCCAGTACTTCGTCTCAACAAATAGAGTCAACAGCCCCCCAGAGTATCGCCACCGATAACTCCGATCCATTGTATGAGTCTTTATTTGGCGGTAACGAAGCCGAAGTTAGCGGAGATGAGTCGGGTAGCGAGGTTGATTCCCCGCTCGCTGAGGTTACTAACTCCGCCGGCAAACGTCGCAGACGAAACTGATGTCGTCCGCAACGTCTCGGTGAAGAACTTTTTGGTACGGCATCAAATCTCTAATTCCGATCACTGCCGTTTTTTGCGCTTCCATTGCTTTCAGGAGTCTGCATCATAGCACCACAAGATTGTTTTCTGTTCTTTTTTACCTAATGTGTCTAGATTCAATTCTCACTGCGCGCTGTTCCTTTTTCTGTTCTGTCATATTTCCTGTGTATATACCTCCAAATTTGTAGATATTTCAGCATTGCTACCAAAATTAACTACAGCCATTCTTTTTATTACTTTTGACCGAGGTGGAAAATTCAATGCAGGTCACAACGCACCAGGCTGGGCAGAAATGCAGCTGAGGTGGTGTGTAAGCGCTCTCAATGGCGAGAGGACATTGTAACATCAGCAAATGGCGCTGAATGCCCACTCTCGGCAACGGCAGGACTAAGCAGATAACTATATCAATCCAGTCAAACTGGAAGTGACATCAGCCACGATCCGAACGTTGATTCATCGCCACGGAGTCCTAATTGTTAATCACTAACCGGATATACATACATAGGAACGATGCTTATCCGTTGCAGCATTACTATTCTCTTTTTCAATTGAGCAGTCTTTCAACCAGCTGAATTTCTGCACTTCCCACTCTTCGTTCGCAAACCAATTTCTATCCACCATCAACAAATCGTTGACACCTCTCAGCGTACAGGTTACCTGCCTCCGGAAAACGATCTCAAAAGCACCATTGGCTCGAAGGATTCTTTCCTGCTGCCGTGACTTTGATCTCTGTCACAAGTATTGCTGCTACCCGGTGCCAACACATCATCTTATTCTTCAACACGAGAATCGCCACCCCGCAGCACAGTTTGAGAGGTCTATAGCCAGAGCCCCGACAGAAATATCCCGTAAGTCATTTCCATCAGTGATCATCGTGCCAATGATCAATAACATTGATAGTGTTTGTAAACAACACGACGCCTATTGTTTTTGAATAAGGAGACTACCACACAACAGCGGCAGAAATCACGACCAGGTCGAACGCGCTGTTCAACTCCATCCACAGTGTACGTGATTTGATTGCTGTCCGAAGTCACAAATTCTGATTTTTATTACTACGTCGTTCAGGCTCCGCATCTCCAATGGCACCACGTCAAGCTGCAGCGAGTCAACCTGCCGAGAACCACCAATGTTTTCTGCTACATCGATTCAGAGAGGAGATCCCACACAATCTCGGGGTTTGCACTGACATCTGTATTAAATGTCGAGCATTGCACTGGACGAAGGAACGACCAAAGAAATCACCTCTGGGCCAACCGACTTCCTACACAATGTGCTGCAGAAACGGTA